TTCATAATCGCAATCGTGACACCTGTACATTTGGATCTGTGAAGGATCTTTATGTTTCAGTTGATGCGTTTTGAAATTAACGTTGTATTTAGTTTTGAAATCGCAGTCGTTACACCGGTATGTTTGAGCCTGTGAAGGGTCTTTATGGTTCAGTTGATGCCTTTTGAAATTACTGTTGTATTTAGTTTCATAATCGCAGTCGTTGCACTTGTACATTTGAACCTGCGAAGGATCTTTATGTTTCAGTTGATGGTGTTTGAAATTATCTTTGTACTTAGTTTCGTAATCGCAGCCGTTACACCTGTATGTTTGAACCTGTGAAGGGTCTTTATGTTTCTTTTGGTGTCGTTTGATATTATACTTATATTTATTTTCATAATCACAGTCATTACACCTGTACATTTGAACCTGCGAAGGATCTTTGTGTTTCAGTTGGTGTCGCTTCATGTCACACTTATATTTAGTTTCATAATCGCAATCGTTACACCTGTACATTTGAATCTGCAAAGAATCTTTATGCTTCAACAGGTGCTTCTGAAGTAATTTCTTATTTTCAGTTTCGTACTCACACGATTCACATTTATATGCTCTCAAATTGTTCTCATGTCTCGCACAGTGTGCCGTAAAACACATCTCACTTTCAGTTTCGAAGATACATTTATCACATTTGTACAATACTTTGCGCTCCTGCCTCGTTTTCACTTCTGATCCGTTCTCATGTTTACATCCATCCTCTTCTTCATTTTTACAGTCACTCTCCTCGAATGGTACATTATCGGAGATCAGGAGTGGCGTGTCCCTGGAAAAATTGCATATACAGGGTAGTTTTGAGGACCAGATTTTAATTTTAAGGGGTTATGACCATAACTGAATCAACCGTAATACTGATAGCATAATTTTAACTTCAATGTATTTAATTTTCAGAAAAGGCATTGGCGAGTGCTATGTCACACAATAAATCCATGAATAAATTTAGATACAGATAATTTAAATACAATCTACAATATAATAAATTTATTAAATTTTAATCAAATAATANAATACTGATGGCATAATTTTAACTTCAATGTATTTAATTTTCAGAAAAGGCATTGGCGAGTGCTATGTCACACAATAAATCCATGAATAAATTTAGATACAGATAATTTAAATACAATCTACAATATAATAAATTTATTAAATTTTAATCAAATAATAACACCCAGTGTATATCACCTTTTTTTGTTTGTCGACCTTTTTTAGTTTTTGTTTTTTACCTTATCCACAAATTTCAATATACTAGTCACAAAAATTAAAGGATAAAAAGAAAATCCTAAATTTTTAGGTGATTTTCAAAAGGCTGTAACATGGCGAAAAATGTTCGTAAAGCAATGAAAAAAGCAATGAAAAAAGCAAATTGGAACTTGAAGGTTCTAGTTTCAAGATCTGAAAGTCAAAAATTTTTATCCTGTATCACCTTTTAGAAATCAAAAAAAGTCCGGTTTTTTTTTTATAATTTTTGCCTCACTTTCAACAGGTCCACGCGTCTATCAATATTTTTTTTTGGCAGTCCCACATATCATCTCTTTTAGTTTAATTCATCCTCTTTGATTTGAGCTGTTCGAGACCTTTAAATAATCAAATCAAAAATAACTGTCATGGCTTTGATAATTAATTATTTGGGAAGTAATGGCGATACAAAATATCTAAGCAGTTTTGAAAAGTTCTACTATCCTCCATAAGACGTTCTTATCGTTTTTTGATAAATTTACTTTTTTCGTTGCAAGAAACATGATTCCAAAATTGCGTATTTGAGGATTTTTGTTAAACCTGAGATTGATACGGAAAATAAAATAACAGAATTAAATCTGAAGTGCACTTATTTAGAAAATGCAGTCCAGGATTTACAAGTTCTTCATGATAATTTATGTAATAAAGTGGACTTTCTCGAGCAACAAGCAAGAAATTCTGGGATTCGTATAATATATGGAATCCCCATTAATAAGTCAGGAAGTCAAAAAGAAGATACAGTAACTGGAAAAGTTAACAAATCCCCTGTACTGCAGCTTGTGTTCAAAAAATCTGTAGAACTGGGAAAAATATAACTAACAGGAATGCAACGCCAATATATGTGAAATTTTCCTCTGATTATTACAGCACAGCTATCTTATGGAACACAAAAGTTCTGAAAAACTCGAAAATTTTTGTCTCTGGTGATCTCACCAAAACTAGATTTGAGCTTTTAATTTCTGCTAAAGAAAAACTTGGAAAAAATAATGTGTGGAGTCTTCAAGATAAAGTCTACGTGAAGAGGAATGACAATATTCATGTCATTTATACCAGAGAAGACTTAGATAATCAGTTGGAATAATGGGGGGCCGCTCAATAGCATCATTCATTTGATCATTTTTTTTCTCGCAACCTTTTCTTTGCATTTGTTTTTTAGGTAAGTATATTCTTAATATTATATAACTATCACTCTTTTATTTTATTATATACATTTTTGTACCAGTTGTACTCATACAGGTACATATATTTATTTTCTTGGGTATAAGGTTCTAGTCTGATTGGCCATTAAAAAATGAAGAAGAAAACACCAGAGTACTTTTTGCTCTTAACTTTATCAAAAGGATTTTAATATTCAGAACCTAAAAATATACAAATACATAATATTAAAAAAAAATTTTAAACTTGCAATTACATTACTATTAAAAATTAATTATGTTTGTACGTACCTAAACAACCATTCCCTATAAATTTAAAAAAAATTTAGTCCTTAAAAATATATTGGAGAATTTATTATTTTGTTTATCTTTTTTTCCCCTTATTTAAAGTTAACTTCAATTTGCNTATTTATAAATTTATTAAATTTTAATCAAATAATAACACCCAGTATATCACCTTTTTGTTTGTCAACGTTTTTTAGTTTTTGGTTTTTACCTTATCACAAATTTCAATATACCAGTCACAGAAATTAAAGGACAAAAAGAAAATCCTAATTTTTTAGGTGATTTCCGAAAAGCTGCAACATGGCGAAAAATGTTCATAAAGCAATAAAAAAAAAGGAAATTGGAGCTAGAAGGTTCTAGTTTCAGGATGTGAAAGTCAAAAATATTTATCCTTTATCACCTTTTAGAAATCAAAAGAAATCCCGGGGGATTTTTTTTAATAATTTTTGCATCACTTTCAACAGGTCCACTGGTCTCAATATTTTTTTTTTGGCAGTCCCACGTCTCTTTTAGTTTAATTCATCTTCTTTGATTTGAGCAGTTCAAAACCTTTATATGTATAATTAAATTAAAAATAACTGTTTTGGCTTTGATAATTAATTATTTGCGAAGTAATGGCCGTACAGAAAATCTAAGCAGAGTTATAAAAAGTTCAGACTATCCTCCATAAGACGTTCTTATCGTTTTTTGATAAAAAAAATTTCCATGCAAGAAACTCGATTCCAAAATTTGTTTATTTCAGGATTTTTGTTAAACACGAGATTGATATTGAAGAGGTGTCCGTTTTTTTTACCTCGAAATAATCCAAAAAACCTGTACGCTCCGCGTACAATTTGTTTCCTTGTCGTGAGGATATGGCCGCATAACAGCTGGATCGTTCGTCGGTTGTCTCACCTATGGCACACTGATGTGGACTAGCAAGTCTGAAACGATCCTAGTTGTTGCACTAGGTGTTGTGAGCATATTCAGTGCTGGTCAGGGCATATAGTCCGCGGAGTAGTTGTTTCTCGCAGCACTGACACTAATTAAAACCTATCAAGAGTTCAAACGGCTGCGATTTATCTTTCATTGTGAAAAATCAATTAAAGGATAAATAAAATATATATTTTTTTTTTAATTGAAAATGTTCTTTCGCAAAAATATATATTTTCTTCATCAAAAATTGTCATGAAAAAAAAATCTTTTCGGAAATATATTATTTACACTATTCACAATGCTACACAGTTGTCAGTTGTAATTTTTTTTTTGAGTGCAAATGTCAATTTAAAAGTCGCTGTATTTCCTTCCTCAAATCTCGGATACTTACAGAGTTCTATAGCTCACAAATTGTTTTCATGAGCTTAAATACCGAGAAAAATAGTATTTTTTTTAAACTAATCCAAAGATCTTTTCTGTATATTCAAAAAAAAAAAATAAATATTTTTTGACGATTTGACAAGCATTTTTTCAAAAGATATTTTTATAAATTGAATTAGATCAATACCTTCTCCCAAAATTCTTTCAAAATTAATTTTGAGTATGATTAATTTTCTTTTTTTTTTTGCAACTCGGTAAAAGATCTATCCTTTTCATTCAAGAAAATTTCAATTTCTGTACAAAGTTAAAAAATTTATTGTATTAATGGAATTTAGTGTAGCATTCTTTGTACCCATATCTGACTTGAAGCCATACGATTGTTTTATTACGATCTTACATATTTTCCCAATAATTTGTTAACCTAACGCTTAACAATTATATAAAAATTTGTACGATATCGTTCATAACCGACATAATCTCATAATGTTAAGTACAATTAGTTTATTACCAGATAGTATCTACATGTGATGATATAAATCACAGTGTCACAACCGCAGGTCGCCATTTTTTAAATTAATGTTACAATAGTCTTCTCTTACCTTCTTTCCTCATCTTCTGATTTTATGTCGATACTTTCAGTTTTGATTGACATTTCCATCTCTTTAATATCGAATTCTTTGTCCAAGTTTTCAGTCTTAACGAATGAATCGAGTGGANGTATACTTAGATAAAAAGATTTACGAGGCTTCATAAAGCCACTTCGACGTTTAATCCTCGTTATTCACGTTTATTAGAAATTCCTCGCCACGCCACTGCCCTGTATATTAGAAGTCCTATCTATCGCGCCTGTGAAGGATATAATGCTTTGCCCGTATGTTTCAATACATACATTTTCTTGAACTTAAAAAAAAAGTTGAAGTAATTTCTTTTGGATGATTTTACTACTAGCTAATAATTTGCTGTCACTAAACTGTGTTTTACGATGTCGTTAGCTGTTTGGATTTTTTTTTTCACTTAGTCACTACGAGTGTTTCATTTTGATTCATATATATGTGCATCTATATTCTTCGATTTATGTTTATATTCTGTAGGGACTATGTTTAGAGATTCTATTATACTTAGGATATTTTGTGTTCCTTATTTATTTTTATTTTTTTCTGTTTATTCATACTGTTTCAAGGGGCTAAGTTGAAAAGCAGTTTTAAACTGACACTTCGCCCCATTTGTTTACATGTACATGTACTTGAGCTAAATAATTGTAATAAAAGACATTTATTATTATTATAATTATTATTTATTATTATATTGAAGATGTTGTCCTTTTTTATCACCTCAAAATAACCTATAAACCATGTCAAGAGTTCAATCGGCTGCAATTTTTTTTTCATTGTGAAAACTCAATTAAAGGATANCTTTCCTCATCTTCTGATTTTATGTCGATACTTTCAGTTTTGATTGACATTTCCATCTCTTTAATATCGAATTCTTTGTCCAAGTTTTCAGTCTTAACGAATGAATCGAGTGGAGACGTACCTATCTGACTTTCTGTGGCTGAATTATCAAAAATATTTTTAATTTTTTCTTCTACCTCCGAGCAATCTTTTAGGAAATTGTTGTGAGTACATAGAGAATCGAAGCATGGCTTACAAACAACGGGATCTTTGATGGTATTTATATACTACAAAGCAGTTTCCTTAAATTATAAAATATGCAAGTATTTAATATCGTTCATACCATTTCAGGAATCAATTTCTCAATAGCTTCGAGTTCCTCTTCACGTATGCACCTA